ACCATAAAATTATTTTCGTTGCTACTCTATAACTGTAATTTTGCTACTGTTATGAATCGTAATGTAAATATCTTTTTGTTTTCCGATGGTCTTAGGCAACCCCTGTGAAAGGGTCATTCGACCTCCAAAGGGGTCGCGACCCACAGGTTGAGAACCGCTGCTCTAAAACAACCATCCCATGACACATTACTGTAAAGCACATCTCTGTGGCGACAGAGAGAATGGACTTTCCCATTCGGGGTCCACATTTGCCCAACTGAAGCATTACTGTAACGGGTTCTTTGGGGACTCAGACAATAGGAATGGGTACACAGCAAGGTTTTGCAGTGACCTCGGTTTCCACGTCCACCTGACTGTGTTGGACTCCCTACTGCAGAATATTACAGGGAGGGCCTGGGGTACTTCAGAAATGGCTCAAGAGTCTCTGGTTCCAGGTGACTTGCCCCAGCTAGCACTCTAGACGCTATTACTCCCACTGGGAAACTGGCCATGTCTAGGATGTCGTGGCAGAATGAGTTTCAAGCACTTACTTTCATCATTAGAAACATTCCCCAGAGATGTGTGGCTGGAATAACGTTTGTTTTCACTTTCGTTGAGACATCTTTCAATCCAGCTCTCTGGAAAAAAAAAAAAGAAAATCATACAGTTGCAGAATTGCTGTTGGTGTTTGTAAAGAGATAAGAACAGCATAAAGTAGATTTAAATGCCCTTCAGGTTTTATCTGAGATCTGCCCTGACTGGAAGTATTTACAAGAAGGTCCACGGGAACCATTTGCTGAGCAGTTTGGAGGCAAAATGGTAATTAGAAGCCCCGCTTGAGTGTTTCTTGGTCAAATTCTACTAATTCTGGAGTATTTGTTGCCCAATAGTACCAATGGAGGATTATCTTTTTTCAAACAGAAGATAGTGGTCCTACGAAGTAGTTTGTAAAACATAATTTGATCCATTGAATCCCTGGTGGTGGTTTGCAGACTTGTAAATTAGCAGCAGGACCCTTCCTTCAAACAAAACCTAAGAGAACAGCAGATAAAACCCTGTGGTCTCTGGCTGACATGGAGACGGAGGGCAGGGGATCTTGCAGCTCACCTGCTTTTGCCCAGTGACCCATTAAGGGATCTTCCAAGCACAGACCAAAGCCACTGCAGGAGATACCAAAAACTCTGTAACAGCTACGTAGTACTTTTAAAATCCAAAAGACTAAGGTTTTGAAAATCCACTTCCAAAGGCTACAAATTTACATTCCACNTATATGATCTCCTGATTTATGACCAGTGGGTAAAAAATATTCTTTTCAGCAAAAGGTGCTCTATCAGTCAAAAATTAAAAATAAAAACAGAATGACTCCTCCTTTAGACCATACGCAAAAATTCCAGATGGACTGATAAAATAAAAGTAAAAGGTAAAATAATAAAACTTCTAGATAATAACATGAAAAAATATCTTTATGACCTGGAGGTAGGCAAAAGTTTCTTAATAGGACACAAAGACCACTAACTATACAGGAAAAACATTGAGAAACTGAGCTTTACTACAATTAAGAACTGTTTGTCAAAAGATACTACTAAGAGAATGTAAAGACAGATCACAAACTGAGAGAAGATGCTTGCACTACTTTCATCTGATGAACATCTCCTATTCAGAATAGAAAAACAACTCTTACAGATCATTAAGGAAAACATACTGAGCACAATTTTTTAAAAATGGAGGGAGGCTAGACTTTGGATGGTGAACCCACAATACAACATACAGATGATGCATTATGGAATTGTACCCTTGAATCCTATATAATGTTATCAATCAATAAACTTAATAGATTACAAAAAAAAAAAAAACAAAAACAAAACCCCCTGACAGGCAAAAGACCTGAACAGGGAGTTCACAAAAGAAGATATCCAGAGAATGTTCAGAGCACCAATCCTTCTCAAACTCTTCCAAAACATGGAAGAGTAGGGAACGCTTCCAAATTCACGTTACAAGGCCAGCGCTACCCTGATAGCAAAGCCAGGAAGACACTACAAGAAAAGAAAACTATACACCAATATCCCTTACGACTATCGATACAAAAATCCTCAACAAAATACTAGCAAACAAAATTCAACTGTGTGATAAAAGGATTATATGCCATGACCAAGAGGGATGTTTTTATTCCCTGAAAGAAAGGATGGTTCAACATACCAAGATCAATTGATGTAATTAACCATATTAACAGAATATCCACATGATCATCTCAACTGACGCAGAGAAAGCATTTGACAAAATTCAATACCGTTTCGTGATAAAAACACTCAACAAAATAGAAAAAGAAGAAAATATTAACATAATAAAAGTCTTTATGAACAACCCACAGCAAACACCATACTCAACGGTGAAAGACTGAAAGCTTTTTCACTAAGATCAGGAACAAGACAAGGATGCTCATGTTTACCGCTTCTATTCAACATAGTACCGGGAGGCCTAGTCAGAGCAATTAGAGAAGAAGATTACCCGCACAAAAAATACCTGTTGGAACTGATAAACAAATTCAGCAAAGTTGCAGGATACAAATCAGCACACGAAAATTAGCTGTATTGCTCTACATTAACAATGGATAACCCAAAAAGGAAATAAAATGATTCTATTTACAATAGCATCTAAAAGAATAAAATATTTAGGAATAACCTTAACCAAGGAAGCAAAAGACTTGTACAGTGAAAACTATAAAATGCTGCTGAAAGAAATTAAAGAAAATACTAACAAATGGAAAGGCATCCTATGTTCATGGGTTGCAAAACTTAATATTTTTAAGATGTCAATACTACCCAAAGTGATCTACATATTGAATGTAATCCCTATCAAAATCCCAATAACATTTTTTTTGCAGAAATAGAAAAATCGATCCTAAAATATATATGGAATCTCAAGGGACCCTGAATAGCCAAAACAATCTGGGAAAAAAAAGAACAAAGTTGGAGGTATCATATTTCCTGATTTCAAAACTTAGTACAAAGCGACAGTAATCAAAATAGTTTGGTACTAGCATAAAGACAGATATACAGACCAATAGAATAGAAAAGAGAGACCAGAAATGAACCCTTGCATACATGGTTAAATGATTTTTGACAAAGGTGTCAAGAGCATTCAATAGGGAAAGGTTAGTCTTTTCAACAACTGGTGTTGGGAAAACTGAGTATCTACATGCAAAAGAATGAATTTGGACTCTTACCTTATACCATATACAGAAATTAACTCAAAATAGATAAAGACTTAAACATAAGAGATAAAACTTTAAAACTCTTGGAATAAGACAGAGAAAAGGCTGCATGATATTGGATTTGGCAATGATTTCTCAGACATGACACCAAAAGCATAGGTAACAAAAGAACTATAGATAAACTCAACTCTGTCAAAATGAAAAACTCCTGTGCATCAAAGGCACAATAACAAACTAAAAGGCAACCCATGGAAGAGAATAATTGCAAATCATATATCTGATAAGGGGTTAATATGCAGAATATACAAAGAACTCCTACAATGAGACAACAAAAAATAAGCAATTTGGTTAAAAAAATGGGCAAAAACTTGAAGAGGTATTTCTCCATAGAAGATATACAAATGATCAATAAGCACATGGAAAGATACTCAACATGACAAATCATTAGGGAAATCAAAACCATGAGATATCACTTTCCGCCCATTAGGATGGCTGTTATCAATAAAACAAAAAATAAGCATTGGCAAGAATGTGGAGAAACTGGAATTCTTGTGCATTTCTTGTGGAAATGTAAAATGGTACAGTATGGCAATTCTTTAAAATATTAAACACAGAATTACCATGTGATCCAGCTATTAATTCTGACTCTGGGTACATAGTCAAAATAATCAAAAGCAGGACCTTGAACAGATATTTGTACACCCATGGTCAGAACAGCACTATTCTCAATAACCAAAAAGTGAAAACAACCCAAATGTCTATAAATGGATGAATGGATAAACAAAATACGGTATATGCATATAATGGAAGTCATTCAGCCTTAAAAAGGCAGGAAATTCCGACACATGCCACAACATGGGTGAACCTTGAAGATATTATGCTAAGTGAACTAAGCCAGTCACACAAGGAAAAATACTGTGTGATTCCAATTATATGAGGTACTTAGAGTGGTCAGGTCATAATACTAGTTGCCAGGGACTAGGAGGAAAGGGAATGGGAAGTGATTGTTTACTAGGTACAGAGTTCCAGTCTGGGAAGATGAGAAAAGCTCTGTAGATGAATGNAATCACCCTAGGAAGGCATTTTTACCTGCTTGGCAAGTCTCAGCAATTCCCAATACTGACATGATACAGAATATGCTCTTTGAACACAGAGGAATTACAATAGAAAACAACAACAGGAAGATAACTGAGAAATACCAAAATGTTTGGAAATTAAGCAAGAGATTTCTTAATAAACCAGAGGTAAAAGAAGTCTTCACCATAGGAACTGGAAAATAAGTTTAACTGAATGATAATGAAAGTATGACATCAGAAAAATCATGGGATAGTTAAGCAGTGCTTAAAGGAAAATTCATAACTTTAAATGTCTATCTTATTATAGAAAAGGTTGAAAATCAGTGATCTAGGTGTATATCTCAAAAGCTAGAAAAAGACAACTCAACTCAAAGAAAGTAGAAGGAAGGAGACAATATAGATAAGAGCAGAAATAAATTAAATAGAAAAAAAATGTAAGTTGAGAAAAACAACAAAACCAAAACTTGGACCTATGAAAAGACTAATAGAATTGACACATTCTGGCAAGATTGATAAAGAAAAACAGAGAAAGCATAAATTGCGAATACCAGAAATGAAAGGAGAACATCACTAATGGGTGCTAAAAACATAACAAAAAGTAATAAAAGGCAAATTTAAACAACGTTGTGTAAATAAATTGGAGAATTTAGATGAAATGAGTCCCTTAAAAATAACAATTTGCTAAGAGTATAAAACAAGAAAGAGAAATATGAACAATCCTATTGCTATTTTAAAAATTGAATTAATAAAACTTCTCCTCAAAGAAAAATACAAACCCAGAGAACTTCAGTGCTGAATTCTTCCTAATAATTAGGAAGTAAACAATGCCAATCTTACACAAACTTTTCAGAAGAAATTAAAAAGAAGAAACTTCCCACCTTTTTAATGAGGCCTGGACGAGTATAATTATGACACCCAAACCTGACAAGGACATGTGAGAAAGGAAAATCATAAGCCAATAATGTCTCATGAACACAGATACCAAAATGCTTAGATTTAAAAAAAATATATAATAGTTCTCACCAAGTGCAGTTTATTTCAGAAANACGTAGCATAATGCTCATTCCATCCATTAGACCAAACTGTGGCTCGCGAGCCACATGCAGCTCTTTGGGTACGTTCCGTCTCAAAAGTTTTCCGACCCCTGGAAGAGCCAATCCTGTCCCTCTCAACAATTTAAAAATTATTCAAGAGCCATAAATATATTTCTACATACTCACCATTATGTGAATAATACCCTTTAAAAATTTTATAAATGAAACTATGATAGTTTTGTTTTATTTTCATTTTCAATTTTACTTCAGAGGCTTGCGAGCCGCAGTTCACTGACCCTGGGCTGCTCTTTCGTCTC